TGTGACTTAGAAAGTTAAATATGGGAGCTGATAGCTGTATGTCTGTTGTGCTTTGTAGTATTATCTTTGGATTGTTAGTTGTGTCAGTGGGTGATCTGTGATGTCCCAGTTGAGATTCTTGTAGCACAAAACCAAGGACTGCTAGCACTGATAGTTAATATGTATACTGTCCATTTTTAACATCGGTAGCTTTGGCTTCACTGATGGTCTTGGCTCGGGTAGGCATATGTTCCATGCGCTCTCCCAGTCTGTATTTTCTTCTTCGGGTTGAAGCAGCACCTGCAGTCATGTCTGCTGCTCTTCCTCCTCTGCAGCATCTAAAACTGGCTGTCTTCTTGATGGGTCCCTTGTCTCACCGAGGTCGATATGCCACAGTTCGGTCAGGATTTCCAGGGTGTCAATTTCTCTTCTTCCTCCTCCATCAGGCCGTCTCTGGCATAGAAGCTGCTCTGAGGCTGGCGAGGGCTGTGGGTTGGTTTTTTGGTAGGAGTGCCACGGTGGTGCTTTTAGTGGTTGTGCATTTGTTGTGTGTTGGTTGAACTGGTGTGATGGAAAAGACACTTTCACTTCTGCCTCACGGCAGGAGTAAGCTGGCTGTGGCTGTGTCTATGTTGCTGCGTGGTCATTCTGCAGCGGTCTCATGGCTGCTGCACAGCTAAAGGTAGTTAGTGGAGCCCCCTGACCCCTGTAATAGCAGTCTGTCTGTTGCCCCCCGCCGCACCCCCGCCAGCACTCCGTTCCGCCACGGCGCAGCCGCCGCCACGCCACCCGGTTCAGGACCGCCCGCGAGCGGCACGGCCATCGCTCTCGCCTCCCCTGCTGCCGCTCCGCTCGGCCTGGTGCCCACTGGGGGGGGTGCTGCAAACGGAGCTCTCGTGGGCTCCGCGGCACCCCCTGACACGCCACATCCTGCTGCTGCCGCACCCGAGGGGTATCCGATGCCTGTTGAAGTCCCGTTACGGGCAGCCATTTGGGGTGCTGAATAAGGCACGAACCCCACTCTGCACTCTGTGAGTGTAGGAGCAAGATTAAGGTTTATTACAAAACACTTCGGTTTAAATACAGCGCTTAAATATGTCACATGATCTCTTAACCAATGACATCCAAGCACTCTACTGAGCATGCGTCAGAGCCTGGAGAACTACAAATCCCATAATTCCTTTTTACAGTCTTCCTGCCACAAAAAACTTCCTTGTATCATGTCACATGAATCAATGACTTTTCTGACTCTTCTTTCAACCTTTTCTGTATAGCAAGTCTTCTTGAATCCTAAACTGCACAGGGCAAATTAACGAAAAATTGTTTCAGTGCAGAACATATAATCAGTATTGCCTATGCAGTCCTTAGAGATTTTTTTTAATTTAGCCAAGGCATTATACAAGGCATTTTGACTAAAGTACCATATTTAAGAGTTCATTCATTACCTTCCTTGACAAATATCTCTGCATGTCTTCATTCCTTCTCCAAATCCCCAAATAAAACCTCATTAACAGAAAAAAAATTAAAAGCAGCATTTTCAGTTTTTAAGTCCAGCAAAACACAAATGTCTGAGGATGGAAGAGGCAACAGCAGCATCAGCTTTACCATAACATGACTGATTATTAGGCTATGGGAATTGTCTGCAGGTCTGGTTTTATTCCCTTTTTTGTTACAGCTATACCCAAACATGTGAAAAGGTCATGCAAGGCAGAGAAAGGTTAACAGAAGTTGTGATGTATCTACCACATAAGACATATTTAAAAATACTGGCTCAAGGTTAAAAACTAGAGCCAATTTATAGCATGGAGATCTTTTAGCATTACTCTGAGATGCCAAAATAAAGTTGTGTAAGCATGTAACATAATAAACACTTCAGAGATTATCAGAGCCAAAATATAGAAGGAAACCCAGGCCAACAAATTGGAGGGTTAGACTCCCCTAAAACAAAAGGCTGTGTTTGCTAGAGAATTTTACTTTGAGAACACCTTGCTCAACTGGCCTTCAATGGCTCCAAATTTGTGTATCTTCTCCATTTTTCATATCTGGTGTTTAGTAAGGCAGACTAAATATACAGATAGAAAAGGACATGCTGCTTTTACTGTCCGCAAATGTATTACTTTAATAATTATTCACAAATCACTTGTCTGTTTGCCCCCAACTTATTAAAGACATCTGGACTACATCAATGACTTATCTTTGTTGCTTATTACATCTTCAGTCTTTTATGTCATCCGTGAGTCTCATTAATAATTTTGTACAATGTTTGATATAATTTAAAACAAGCATTAAATAACACATAGCAAAAACCAATTCCTAAAATAACGCCTATATAAATATACTTGTTCAGTTAGGATCCTCCATTTACTGTTCTGGTTTTGGCTGCCAGTTAATCAATACTCTACTAATTAACAGATCATATTGATCAAATTAGTATGACATATAAAAAGTGTCATGCAGCAGTAAGTAAAATGTTTGGAGGAAGTCTAAATATTACATAACCACTATGGCTATGTAAACAGTATAGTTCTTACTAAGTGTGTTGTTTACTAAAACTGTGGTCAGAATTGTTTCTCCTATACCCATATTGACCAGCATAAGTTCTACTGATTTTCTTTGATCGCTTACATATGTTATAAAGTTTTTGCCTATACAGTTGCTAGCCAATAATCATCTGGATTGTCCTCTTTACCCCTTTTACTGCTAAAACTTCTAACAAAACATCCCAGTTTCAAATTTACTGTGAACAGATCATAGCAATACAAATAGTTGTTTGGTTGGTTTGAGTATGAACACTGAATTGAAGTTATCTGAATGTGTTACTTTAAAGCTAGTTTTATCACTTTACAAAATGATACAAGTTTGGGGGTTCCCCATATACTTCAAAAATACCAGGGCATTCACAAGCCCCTGGTCCTTATGCGAGCTCTCAACCACCCCAATATCTGTTGGAGGGACAACACAGCAGGGCACAGGCAATCCAGGAGGTTGCTGGAACGCAGTGACAGTAACTTCCTTCTCCTAGTGGTAGAGGGCCTAATGAGGAGAGGTGCTATGCTGGACCTTGTCCTTACCAATAAGGAGGGGCTGGTGAGGAACGTGAAGCTCAAGGACAGCTTGGCCTGCAGTGACCGTGAAACACTAGAGTTCAAGATCCTTAGGGCAGTGAGGAAAGCACACAGGAAGCTCATTACCCTGGACTTCAGGAGAATGGACTTTGGCCTCTTCAGGGATCTGCTTGGTAAAGTGCCATGTGATAAAGCCCTGGAGGAAGGAGGGACCCCAGAAAGCTGGTTAATCTTCACGGCTCAAGGTCCTCCAAACTCAGGAGCAATGTATCCCAATAAAGAGGAAGTTGGACAAAAGTATCAGGAGACCTGAATGGATGAACATGTTGCTCCTGGACAAACTCAAACACAAAAACAAAGCCTACAGAGAGTTAATGCAAGGACAGGTACCCTGGGAAAAATACAGAGATTGTCTGAGCAGCCAGGGATCAGGCTAGAAAAGCTAAAGCCCTGAGAGTATTAAATCTAGTGAGGAATGTAAAACCCAAAAGAAAAGCTTCTATAGATACAATGGTGATAAAAGAAAGATGATGGAAAGTGTGAGTCCTCTCCAAAAGGAAATGGGAGATCACGTTACCCAAAACATGAAAAAGGCTGAGGCACCCAGTGACTTTTTTGCCTCAAAGACTTCATTGGCAACTGTTCCAGCCACACTGCCCAAGTTGCAGAAGCTGCAGAAAGCAAATGCAGGGGCTGTCATAATGTAGAAACACTGTCTGTAGGAGATCATGTTTAAGACCATGTAAGGCACCTGAAGGTGCACAAGCTGATGGGACCTGGTGACATGTATCCAAGGGTCCTGAGGGAACTGGCAGAGGAAGTGACTAAGCCACCATTCATCATATTTCTGAAGTTGTGGCAGTCCAGTGAAGTTCCCACTGAGATAAAATGGAAAAATAATCCCCATTTTTTAAAAGGGAAATAAGGAAGATCTGGGGACTACAGGCCAGTCAGTCTCACCTTGATACCAGGCAAGATCATGGACCCCTGGTGTTAATTGTCACACTCAAAAAATTGTGAATGGCTTGATGTCCAAGTGGAGACCAGTGATGAGTGGTGCTCTTCAGGGTCGAGAATTTTGACTGCCACCATTTAACGTCTTTGTTGGTGACAGACAGTGGGATCGAGTACAACTTCAGCAAGTTTTCCACTGACACTAAGCTGTGTGGTGCACATACTGGAGGGAAAGGGATGTCATACAGAGGGACCTTGACAGGCTTGAGAAGTGTGCCTTTGCAAAGCTCAAAAAGGTCAACAAGGCCAAGTGGCAAGGTCTCGCACCTGAGTTGGGGCAATCCCAAGTACTAATACAGGCTGAGTAGAGAATGGGTTCAGAGCAGCCCTGCCAAGAAGGACTTGGGCGTGCTGGCTGATGAAAAACTCAGTGTAACTCAGCAATACGTGCTCACAGCCCAGAAAACCAATTGTATCCTGGGCTGCATCAAAAGCAGTGTGGCCAGCAGGTTGAGGGAGGTAATTCTGCTCCTCTACTCTGCTCTTGTGAAACCTACCTGCAGTGCTGCATTCAGCTCTGGGGTTCCCAGCACAGGAAGGACATTGACCTGTTGGAGAGGGTCCAGAGGAGACCACAAAGATGATCAAAGGGATGGAGCACCTCTCCTACAAGGAAAGTCTCAGAGAATTGGAGTTATTCAGCCTGGTGAAAAAAAAGCTTTGGGGAGACCTTAGACAGCCTTCCAGTACCTAAAGGGCTACAACAAAGCTGAGAAGGTCTTTTGACAAGGGCATGAAGTGATAGAACAAGGGGTAAAGGCTCTGAATTGAAATAGGGCAGGTTTAGACTAGACATATGGAAGAAAGTCATTACTGTCAAGCACTGGGACAAGTTGCCTCACCACCTGTTGTGGATGCCCCATCCCTGGAAGTGCCCCAGCAACCTCGTCTAGTGGAAGATGTCCCTGCCCATGGCAAGGGTTGGAACTAGATTGATCTTCAACATCCCTTCCAGCCTCAACCAATTCATGAGAGAAAAAAATAGTTAATTATTCAGTCTTTTGTGTTTTACTAGCAACATTTCCACCATTTCTATAGATCCATATGATTCTGAGGACTAACATAACCCTTCCTAAATGTACCACATTTACCCATGAGAGTAGTGAGGGACATGAATGATGCAGTGTTCTTTGCAGATGTAACTGCCATTTACAGCACTGACTTACATTAAGTAGAAACCCTACATAAAATATTCCATCAGACTGGCTAATGTGTTATTCCAAGATGGTGTGTTGTAGCAATAAAGAGCAGTGACTGTTCTGAGTATCTGTTGAGAGGGCAGAGTCAGCTTAAAATCTAGCCAATTTTCACAAGTTAGTTAAAAGCAGTTCTACATTTTCCTACACATCTCCTAAATGACTTGTGAAACTTATTTACATAAACATTTCTTTCCTGACAGGTGACAGATGCACACAAAAGAGACCGACTAAAATAAAAACAGTGAAGTTAACCACAGACAAAAGTGCAGGCAGAGTAACCAGAGAATTATTTTTATTCAGCATTACTTGCAACAGCTGGCATGACTCAATGAGAAAGGTGTAGTTACGTTGACTCTGCTTCTTTCAGAAAGAAATGACCCATGGAGAGACATGAAGAAGCAAGCTATAAGTCAATCAACCTTCATTCTGTCAAACCACAACTTCCTGTATACAGGATTTCTGCAAGAACATCATAACATCCAACAACTAGAAGTATTTACTAGACTAAGATTATCAACAGTTTATAACTGGGATACCAGGGGACTTACTTAGATCTAGAATTTCCTTTTATATTCCTCTCCTTAGTCTCATTCACTCCACACCTTTTTTCTTTATATGCAGACAGTAGAACATTCATCTTGTCTAAGAATTGTCATTCTTCTTTTTTTGTCCCCCAAGTAAACTTGGAAAAAAGATTTTAACTATATCTGCACTATAGTTGTTCATAAAAGGCTAGTAGTATTTGTGGTTTTTAGGTATACTTCACACAAAATTATGGTTGTTATGCATCTAGTCTGAATCACCACTGGCTATTAGTATTTATAACATTACGCTTTCAGTCATCAAAGGAAGATCTACACAAATGATACCACAAATATTCTTGCTGAGATCAGCATAAGCTAAAATAGTAAATTTTGCATAATTTTCACACTGCAGATGCTGAAGTGTATTCCCATATGGACTGTAGTCTAAAACATTATTTTTCAGTTCTCAAGCTAATTTCAAACAGTTGCTTTCTGAATGCTAATTTCAGGATCATGTTGGCAGATCCAAACAAAGCATGTCCTGAATGTCACCATAGTTATTCTCCATTTGGTAAACAGTATGAAATAAACCCACATTCAGTGGCAATAACGCAACTTAGACCAATCCCCAGGTACTCATTTAAGTGTTTTCTCTTCATGCACACGTCTTAAATTCTGAGTAAGCAGGATTATAATTTCATTTCCAGGTTGTCACTCTGGGGGACACCATGCCTTTTAAGAAGTGCTCAAACTTAGCAGTAATTTTTCACTCCTAGGACCACCACTGCAGACAAGGCAAGAGATTCTGAACAAAGGGAAAAAGTTGCCTTTCCCTTAGCAGATGTGGTAACTGCATCTCATGAGCACCAGATGGAGGCTGTCACTACAGCATCAATTACTAGGAGAGGAAACTACAACTTTTGCAAGGCCCAGAGCTATTTTAGGAGGATTTTCTGGATGCTAGAATCAGACCAGGGTGGATCCAATTTCCCTGGCAGTAAATGCCATTTAGAGGGTGGAACTGGCAAGGGATTGGGTTTACACATTCATCCCTCAAATCTTATTCACATTAGTTCTGCCCTTCTCTTCCTCGGTTATTCTACTTCTCATATCCTAGTGATTTCTTGTTTTCTTTTTAAAGAAAAGATCTCTAGCAGCACGTACATTTTTTTTTAAACAAAAATCAAAGACTTTATGTTTGCAGAGATAATTGAAAGGTCAGAGCAGGATGCAGACCCATCCCAGTGTGCACATGGTGAGTTTGGGTGCCTGTGCTGCTGCCCTGAGCAGCTGTGTGCTGTTGCTGCTCAGAATCATGGAAACCACAGAAGAACAAGGTGATTTTTGTGCTGTTTGTAACAAAGCCCTGAGAATCACATATTAAAGTCACTGACTGGGAACCAGTTTTGAGTTAGGGCACTGGAGATATTCTTCCATCTTCTCAGTCTGGGGAACAGTAACATAATGTTGGACCTTTACTACAAATGGAGGAATTCAAAGGCTTCATATACCTATCCTTGCCCAAAGGCTTCATTTTTGGAACCTCTAAAAATTGTATTTTACCAGAACACACCAGAAGAGATTTCTACCCCTTCTGCTCATGGATCACATCTGCAGGGCAATTGATAGTGACATCTACGTAAGCTCACAGTCACAGCATCTGACAGAATAACTCCTGCAGTATTTGAATCACAGCACACACAGTGCCTGCATCTATTCCCCCTGAAGGACCCCAGTCCAGACCAGCAGCAGACACTGTTTAGCAATGGGACAGCTGTCCCATGAGTCCTGTTTAATTTATTGATGCAAAGAAGCATAGCCACGTATTAAATATTGATGGGTCCTTTCCTTCCCAGGGGTAAACCTGCAAAATTGCTCCTAATACCTACCCTGGAAGAGGCTCAGAGCACTGAGTTTCGGGAAATATAGGAGTAGATTCTGCCATTATTATTCCAAGTGTCGAAGTGTAGCAGAGGCATGTCTCTCAGCTCCTCTTAATCCCTGGTTCACAAAAGAGAAAAAAGAAGAATGTTCTCCCTTTCTATTCAAAGCAACTTCAAATGTTAGATGTTGTTATTCAGAGCAACTTCAGAAGTCAGATGTTGTTTAGTCACAGACCAGTAGAAAAAAATTAAATCCCTGCTCCAAGAAAGGGATTCCAGTGAAGCCTTTGAAGCTAGTATAGTAGAAGGAAGTACTGGTTTCTCTGACAAAATTTTACTGCAGGCTCTAACCATAGCTTATCTCTATCTACTGAATTTGTTTACAAGGCTTAGCTTGACATATTAGCTCTGGTACAATTTCCAAGACTGCAGGACAGAAATAATAGGAAAACGGAAAGTAAGTGGATGGAAAGTTTACCCATTTTGTCCCACTAGCTGAGACAGTGTACAATGCATTGGCAACAGTATAGTCAAAAGATGATGGGAAAGAAAAAGAAGGGACAGAAACAGATAAATAGACAATGAAAATACTTACAGTTGGGGTATAAAATAAAGGTTAAAGTATATCAACATCACCCAGAATACATGTTAGTAAACTGTGTTTAACCTTGAAAATTGACTGATCTGAATGGATGCAGTATTCCACAGCTCAGTCACTCTGTGTTGCAGGGATAACTAGGTAAAACAAGTACACACCACTCTAATTAGCACTTGGGCTACTAAATTTCAAACAATCTCTAAAGTTCTGGAACAAATGCCCAAGTTTACTTGGTTAAACCCAATCCAAAAAAGAACTTAAATGACACTTGGCTTAAGAATGGAGCTGACACCAAATATTGCTGTACAGATACAAACAGAAGATAAAACCTGGGTGGGAAAAAAAAAGAAATGAAAACAACTCTTCAAAATATTATAGCCTTGCATTTGCTCTTTATTAACTATTCCTCACTGGGTAGTTGTCTTTGACCAAATGAAACTTAATGAGATAGGACAGCATTTTTTCACCACACAGAAAATTTTTGGTCTCTAATTTCATAGGGTGTCTGAACTATACAGAAATCCTTGTACTTAGAGCACTGCCTTGTAAGTTTGTCTCTGATACAACCCAAGAAAAGAGTTGTCTGTAAATCCTGACTAAGTGTTTCAGTTCGAGCAAAACTAGAGGTAGGTTTGGAATATTGTTCAAGTATTTGTAAACTAAGAAGTTAAGTACCAGTAAGAATCAAGTTTTACAGTGACTAGTAAGAAAAAAAAAATTAAAGTCCAGCTCAGTTTTCCCAGCTTGCTAAATGGAATCACTGGGGACCAAGTCGGAGGAAGCAGATGTTGTACCCAAGCTTTTTAAAAGAATGCCTGTTGTTTCAAGAGGAACCATTAAAGTGTTGCTTAGCTATCTCAGCCTTTTCTTTGCCTCCATACTTTCTGTGTCCTCAGTCATAGTTCATAAAGGCTGAGAAGTTCAGAAAAGATGGGCAAACACATGAAGAAATTGATGGTGGTGGTGATGGTGCCTCATCCAGTGGGTGGCCGGTAACTAGTGGGGTTCCCCAAGGCTCAGCATTGGGGCCAGGTCCATTTAATATCTTTATTGTTGAATTGGATGAGGAGATTGAGTGTACCTTCAATAAATTTGTGGAGAACAAGTTGGGTGGTAGTCTTACCAAGTCTTACCAAGGCCAAGTCTTACACTTTAGCCACAATAACCCCATGCAGCAATGCAGGCTGAGGGCAAAGTGGCTGGAAAGCTGCCCAGTGGAAAAGGATCTGGGGGTGCTTGTTGACAGCAGCTGAACATGAGCCAGCACTGTGCCCAGGTGGCCCAGAAGGCCAGTGGCATCCTGGCTTGGATCAAGAACAGTCTGGCCTTCAGGACCAAGGCACTGACTGTCTCCCTGTGTTTGGCACTGGTGAGGCCACACCTCAAGTCCTGTGTCCAGTTCTGGGGCCCTCACTACAAGAAAGACATTGAGGTGCTGGAGTGTGTCCAGAGAAGTGCAACAGGGCTGGGGACAGGTGTAGAGAATAAGTCCCATGAGAAGCAGCTGAGGGAGCTGGGGTTGTTTAGCCTGGAGGAGGCTCAGGGGATACCTTATCACTCTCCACAATTGCCTCAAAGGCAGTTGTAGCCAGCTGGGGGGTCGACCTCTTGTCCCAGGCAACTAGTGACAGGATGAGAGGACATAGCCTCAAGCTGTGCCAGGAGAGCTTCAGGCTGGACATCAGGAAGAATTTCTTCACTGAAAAGGTTAGTAAGCACTGGAACAGCCTGGGTGGTGTTGTTTCAGATTTTGTTTAGTTTTTTTGCTTTAAAGCCATTTTAAAAACCATTTTACCAGCACTTAGCATGCCGGAAAATGCTCTTCTGAAAATTTTAGTGTATGTTGTTTCACTTTCTTTGCCACAGGTGACAATCTAGGTAAGCAATGTCTTTTTTTGCCTGACAATAGCAGATTGAGGTTTGCCTGTCCTCCACACAATTTATGCCCAAGAATTATTATGCTGCCTACCACTGCAAGGTAGTCACTTGGTCTAATGCAAGAAAGTCTAAAGTAAAGTGCAGTTTAAAGGGAGAAAGCCTGAGAAGACAAAAAGAGGGGTTGTTTGTGTAGGCTGCTTATCCACAAGAAGGCAGTCCCATAACACTTCCTTTTAGACCACCACCCCATTTCACTTTCTGTACATTATATGTGCTTAGGTATTTGTATATGTGGTGGTAGAAAGATCAATGGCATTTTGTACCTAATAACTTCTGAACTGATGGAGAATATCTGACTAGAAGAGGATAACCCTTCGAGGAAACTTTTTTTTTTCCAAACCACTTTATCACAATTAAGTATATGTATTTGCAGTAAAGAGAGAGAATACATGGAAAAAGACATTTTAAGACCTGAATTTTTCACCAAAATTGCTTTTATTTCAATACTGGAAAAATACAATCCTTTCAAAATAACATTTACAAAAGCCTGTGAGAAGAACACACTGTTTTTGAGTGTTCATCTATTTAGCAACTCAGATCTATACAAGGTCACAACAAACTCCCAGAGACATTAAATCTAGAGTCTTCTCAGAGACAAGATTTTCTCCTTTTGACTTTTCGCAAATGGTAAATTAAAACTGTAAAGAAAGGTGAGACACTCTTATTCCTCTATTCCAAGAGTTCAAAACTCTGAACCCTCTAAATCAGTGCAACACATTTAATTTTAAGAAGTCACTTGCACATTATCATTTTATTTGTAACAGTGATGCTTTTATCCCTAATAACTCAGCAGTGAGTTAAACTGTCCCAACAGATATCCCAAGACAAGGCTCCTTATAAGGAAGACATAATTAATTCCTAGGGTCTATTCTCAATAAATGTAAACTGAATGTGCTCATTCCCTGAGGAAATACATCATCATCATGGCCAGGCTTTGCGAACAAAGATTTGGGAAAGGTCTCTACCCACGTTTGCTACAAGTGCGCTGGTGGTTAAAAAGGCCAATATGAGACAGACATGTCCAGTTGCAAAAGGCACAGCAGAAAGACTCCTTAGGCGGTAAATTCTGCAGGCCACGATTCTTTCTGCATTGTCTTTTCTCCTCGAGAGTGATCCTGCGTGCTTTCTCAAAGGAAGCAGCAGTGTTATAGATGGTGTGTCTCCAGGCCTCC